GACCCTAGTGAGGATTAAGCGGTGTATAGATAATGGATGGATTATTATTATTACTATCCTCAAAGCAACAAATAATTAAAGCTTAATACTCAAAGTTTTGTTTTTCACTCTGAAATGTTTGCAAAGGGGGTTTAGACTTTTGAACCGGGTTCCTGTGGATTCTTAAAACATCTTGAAAGGTACTGAATTTATTAATATAAAAATAATTTAATGCACTGATTTAGATGTATGTTTGATTCTTTTAAATTATGAACATGTCGCCTTTTGAGACCATAACCAACAGTTAGTTTACCCCTGTTGCATGCTTTTATTAAAGATAAGTTAATAAAAACACATGCAGTGTGACATATTACTTTACTGTGATTTACATGAACGTGCAATCCAACCAAGAAAGCTGTGAAAAGACAAAATATGCACAGTGATTTTTCTGTGACAGCTATGCTCCAGAGATGGAAGAAGGCAGTCTGTTGTTTAATAGAGCTGTTTAGTTTATCACTAGACAGATCGTACATTATTCTTTAACTACACATTGCTGATGCTTTGATGCACTTTTAGGGAGAAAAATCTGAGTCTCCAAGTAATTGTCGCATTTTGCGAGCCCATATGATATATTATTGTTTACCTTTTAAAGTGTAACACTTGCAGCCTTGACTTGGCGTGAAATGAAGCAGCAGAACTAGTAAAGATGCCTTTTTCACTTTGACTCCCAATCGGGGCCCAAACCATCAACAAGTATCAAAGCTTACATTCACATCAACCAGTGGAAATACCAGACTCACGACTTTTATATGTTTCACTCTGTCAGGTTTCAAAATGTTGCCAGTTTGTCAAAATAATGCCCACTGTCAGAGTTTAGAGATATGAAAACCTGCTGGCCAACTTGTAGTGGATTTCCGCTTTATTTCAACCTGCTGTATTTCCAATTAATGTTGCTTTTATGCTGTGCAGACTTTGCGCTCATCACCTCCGTTGTAGAGATTTAGGGGAAATGAGGAGTTGCACATAACAACTTGTGGACAGAGTTTAGCAAAATGACAATTCACCTTTTTCCGTGAATCATTTTAAGTGTTTGTTTTCAGTCTGACTAAAAGAAAACTGAAATTAAAGCCTGAAATGGACACTTTGCTAACCTGTAGTAGCACTACAGACATACAATATGGTAGCTGAAGTATAATTACATGAGTCCACTACAGCTGGTGGACAGATTGCATCAACAGATCACACTGCTTCCTTCAGTTCTCTGACGTCGAGACTGTCAGGCCTCTTTGGAGTTCCCAAGAACATTTGTCTCAACATTGCCGTACTGAGTATAAATGTCAAAAATAATGTTCACTATTATTCGGGGAGCATTTTAAAGACTCCTGGGTGGTCTTTTCTCCAACATGCCAGATACTGTTAAGCACAAGTCAAAAATTACACTACTTTAAGCATCAGTCAGAGAGCAAAATCGAATGTTGTATATTAAAACACAGTGTTAATTACTTGATTACCATCGTTGCTGATCAGCTGTTTTTGCAAGCAGGTGAGAAAAAGCGTTGATGTGATGGATACTTGTGCGTCGGCTCAGACTTTGCCAGCGTTTTCCTGCAGAAGCTCTGACTACACTCTGAAGCTCAGAGTGTAGACTTTGTATTCATGCGACTGCATTAACGCACACAGTGACGGCTTAATAAATAGGACTGTATGAGCCTTCCTGCAGGACTCCGGAGCAGCAGGAAGGCTCATTAACTGCCAGCCAACCCAAATGACTTCAAGTGAAGTGACTCAACATGAGTCCTGCGCAGACGGAGACACTTGGTTCATGTCGTTTTGAGTCATAGGAATTATCTTCCACCTGTCTGCTCAGCATTACTCAAACTGATGGCTACCCTGTGTGTGGAGTGGGTGTACCTCCTCCCATAGCACGGAGACAGCCCAGCTCTCCACCTCCGTTTTAACTCCTGCAGCCTGATTCTCAGTTTTATTCCGCAGAATTACACTTTTGATTGATTAAAGACAATAGAAATGCAATGGAAGGGGGTCATATTTAATAATCCTGGCATTGAATGCTGCTGATTTATTTTGTTTTTTTTTACACAAGTATTTCCATGTTATAGTAAATTGTCCTTTCACTCCACTGCATTTCAGAGGGAAATTCTGTATTGCCTACTCCACTGTGTTTATCACAATGGGAAATGTCTAAACTTCTCACATGGTTTAATTTCAGTTAATGTTGCAACGATCTCAGCAAAAATTAAAGATGAGAGAAAAGATTTTCAGATTCCGATTTTTAGACAACATATGTTTGTATCAGAACTGTGGTGGTCCGAGCTATGTGCTTTTATTGAGAAACATTGTTTAGTGTATGTCCCTGCTGTTTTGGTGGCTGCTAGTTGTTTTTCAGTTTGGGCAGGGTTTGGTCGGAAGAGGTCTCACTCACTCTCTCCTACACCTGAGGCTCATCAATCATCTGCGCTGGATAAAACCTGCCTCCACCTGTGCTCCAGTGCCAGTGGATTATCCTCCCACGAGTGGCTTGACTGCGTAGAAGAATTGTGTTTAGAGAAACTCGCTTTGTCTAACTTGTGCCTTTGTCTGCGTTTTGCTACCAGAACCTCCCCGACGGACCAACGTATTCCCCGACCTAGTCTCTGCAGCCGAGCTCTTGCCTCAGCCGTTCAGTCACCCTGTCCCTTTGGAACCTCACCTGGAACTCCTTCCCTCACTCGGCTTCCCTCACGTGCTTCCTGGTGTCCCCTGTACCTTGCAGCCTGAATAAATCCCTCTTTCCTAACTACCAATCCTTCTGTTGCTTTTCTGGATCCCTTTCCTGCGAATCATAACATAATCCACTGGCCACCATGGATCCAGTAACCCCCAACACCTTCAAGGAAGCTCTGAGCTCGCAAGGCGCCATGATCGGTCGGCACAACCAAGTGTTAAAGAAGGTGTCGACTCCTCTTTAGGAGCTCGCCCAGAGCGTTCAACATTTGACCACACAGATGAACCAACTGGTGGCCCCCGGTCCAAACCCAGGTCCTCCCCAAGTCATGAGTAACCCCTCTGTTTCTCAAGCTTCCCCTCCTCGCTCTCTCAAGCCGAAGGTGCCCACCCCCTAACCTTTTTCGGGGGAACTCGGCTCAGGTGGCCGCTTTTATTAAGTTGTACCTTGGTTTTCGATTTGCAACCCTTCAGCTAGCCCACTGATAAAGCTAAAATTGCTTTCTGTATTAATTTGATACGTGGCAGTGCCGCACAGTGGGCGACTGCTCTGTGGAATAGGCAGTCAATGATTTTGAGTTCTTATGATTCGTTCATGGCGGAGCTACACAAAGTCTTTGATCACCCTGTTAAACGGAGTGAAGCACTAAACCAACTGTTTACCTTACAATAAGGCAGTCGGCAGCGGAGTTTTCAGTGGCTTTTTGTATCCTGGCGGCTGAGTGTGAATGGAACGAGCCAGCTTTGATGACTTTGTTTGCTCGTAATTTATCAGAGGAGCTGATGAATTGGTGTCTCGAGACGAGCCTACCTCGCTTGATCAAATAATCTCGCTAGCTATCAAAATAGATAACCGGCTAAGGGAGAGAAGAGTGGAGAGAGTGGGTCGGACTCGGCGGGGTCCTCTGGACGCTAACCCGGGTTCCCGAGTATTGTTCGCCAGGAGTTCTCGGGAGATGGATCCCCCAGCTACCCCACTTCCGGAGGAGCCGATGCAGCTTAGTCGGAGTCGCCTGTCCCCGGAGGAACGCCAGCGGCGGATGCAGCAGCAGCTGTGCTTATACTTCTCCTGGGCACCACGCCGTCAGATGTTCAGACCTGTTAAAAGGCCAAGGTTCACCAGTAGAGGAGAATGTTCTGGTGAGCAAACCACAACCCCTGTTAGCTCTCAGTCCTGGAGCACTTTACTGGCCACTCTAAGTTACCAGAGTAAATCGATTCCTTGCAGGTTTATATTGATTCGGGCGTTGAAGACAATTTTATTGACTCTGACTTTGTTCAGCGGGCCAGAATTCCTCTAGTGGCGTTTGAGACTGCGAAGGGGGTAAAAACCCTGGATGGACGCCTCAGAGCTGCATAACTCGAGGTACAGCACCTTTTAGATGAACTATTTCCGGCAACCTCTCCGACGGACGGACGTATTCCCCGACCTAGCCTCTGCAGCCGAGCTCTTGCCTTCGTTGCCTGCGTTCAGCCACCCTGCCACTTTGGAACCTCCACTGGACCTCCCTCCCTCCCTCACTCGGCTTTCCTCACGTGCTTCCTGGTGTCCCATGTACCTTGCAGCCTGAATAAATCCCTCTTTCCTAACCACCAGTCCCTCTGTTGTTTTTCTGGATCCCTTTCATGCGAATCATAGCAAGAACTTTACTTTTTCTTCTTTGTCTTTCTTATGATGAGCCCTTGGATGGATATATTTGCTGTGCCTGTATATATAACTGGATATGAAGTATTTTAAATCCACAGCAGCTACAACAGCAACATGCTGCTGACACAGTGATGCTTCACTATTAATATTACAATGATGTTATATGTCTTGATATAAATTGGTATCCGTTATTTACTTAGGGAAAGAAAAAAACTATTAAGAAAAAGGCCCTCAACCACATTCATAATAAATACATCATGTAAATATTTATACAAGTATAGCAAATCTACATTCAACCTTCAGTACGTATATTCCACAAGGACAAGGCAAACACTTTATGAAAAACAGGAGCACATTAAAACTTTGTTAAACCAGAGTAAATCCTGAAACCTGTTCCAATCAATATGTTTTGCAGGTTGTATGGTAACCCATATTTCTAAGTCTTGAAAGTGATCACAGATAACATGGCAGTTTATTCAGGAAAGCTTTGTAAGTAAAAATGACAGTGTTGTTCCCCTTGAACTGTAAGTGATGGCCACCTTCTCAGAGAAGATACAGTGATGGATTCTGAAACTGTCCCCTGTAATAAATCTAAGTGAACTGTGATACACAGCATCAAGTGGCTTATGAGTATGGGGCAGCAGCATGCATGTAAAACAGATCTGCATATTAACGCAGGGATAAAAACGTTGCTTGTACAATTTTTAATCTACTGCTGAAAGAAGGCACGGCTTATTTCTGTAAAAAAAGCCTAATTTAATTTTGAGTCTCGGTCAGTTTCTCAAAATATGTTTTGAAAGATAATTTATCATTTGAAAAGATATCCAGGTATACTTTGGACATTTTTAATTTGAGCTCAAGTTGTGGTTTTAATTGTTAAATTTAGAGGGTTTTTAATTTGGGATCGGGTGAAGAGCATGTAATTACTCTTATCTGGATTTATTAAAAGCTTCAGGCTAATCAAGGCATTTTGAATAAGGTATCAGTTTAACTGAATAGTCCCTGAATTTTTGTCACCTAAGCAGCTAAGTCAGTTACAGCTTCTCGGTAGCACAGAATATCTTTTTTATAGAACCTTGGTCATGCAAACCTGAAACGTTTCGTATATATTATATTATGATTAAGCTTAAATTTGGTTAAATTTCTTGAATAAATGACCCATCACAATCAGAAAGTTAAAAATTTGACAATTTTTATTGTTTTTACAGGTTTACGCTGTGATAAATGTAATTCTGCAGATCTTTTAAAAAACACTTAACATGCTTTTCAATCCAGTTGGCAGGTTTTGAAGTTCAGATTTAAAGAAGAAAGATATTACAACTGAAGAGCTAATACACTTAAATATTTGTGTTCATTTTAAATCATCGCAATATTGAACAACGTTATCACACATTGCAGAGTTCTATTATATCCTGCAGGCCTAGAATTGAATTGTAGTGGTTGGTTTTCATATAGACTCAACTAAAGTTGGCTTTCCTGCCATCCAGATGGATAGAAGGACTTGCTTTCTGTATGCAGAAGTTAAGATGTTATTCTTTTCAGATACCCTTTTTTCACCCAGACACCTGTACAGCCACCATATAATCAACTCGTGTTGTTTTGAGTCATAGCAGTGTTTCTCTTTTGGGCTGAGTGTCACTCAACCTGATGGCTTCTGTGTGTGTGGGGTGAACAGACCTCCTACCAAGGCAGGAAGAGAGTGCAGCTCTGTACCTCCTTCATTAGAGCAACAATGTGATTTCCGCCAGTTGGCCTGCTGGGTCACACACATTTCAGCAGGGCGGAAGTGTAAGACCCAGTGTCCTGACCCTGAGTCTTTACCCCCCCAACATTCCTAAAGCCCCTCACATACCTGTTGTCTCCTCAACCATAATATTGTGTACGTCGTCCTTCAGCTGCTCTGACAGTCTGGATTCTGGTCATTCCAAGGAACCCAATCAAACTCTGGGAGAATTTTTTCCTTCTGCTGTCTCCTTTTGAAGAATAATTCCAGTTAATTAGCACATCATGGCTTTGGCCACTGTTTCCTGTCTATACATTGTTCTCACCATAATCGCTGACATCTGCAGTGAAATTGCTAAGAAGAGATGTGACAGGGTGAGAAACACGAGCAGTCAGATGATCACATAGGCCACTGAAAACATCCATCTCAGTTTACGGACCGTCTTCCTGATTCAGTTACAAGCTGCTTTTAAGTGCTTTACTTATTTATTTTTACATCAGTTTTAATTCATACTTTAATTTTGAACTTTTTAAAATTTCCCTCGCTAGCCACTACTGAATGGCACACTAGGAAAGTTAAACACAAAAATACTCAACCAACTGCCAACAATAGATGGCATTGTGATGACTAGTTTACTGTATTTACTTTCTGCCTCAGAGCAGAATTATTCTGAGTTTCTTCTCTATGGTATTCAGTAATAACAGCACCTTCCGAGTAAACTAGCTACATACTGACTGTAGGTCAGTTCTCCTGCGCAGTGGGGGACTGTTAGCATCTTAGCATGTGCTAACTTTAAGTTTGACCTTCAAGTAAAGTGGTAAAGTGTGGAGACTTCAAAACCAGTCTAATTGTATGTTTCTTCAAACGTCTAACCGTGTTGTAGTGATTTTGTTGTGTTTCCAAATGTCAGTGTTCATTTTGGTTGACCACACTTTAAAGGTTAAACAATAGTTTTAGACTAACTTGGGACTAAGGGCATTTTATATATTTATATGCTGAATTGTCCTCAAACTTGCTTCTGGTTTGAGAAGAAAGACAAACTTCAGGTTAAGTTAGTGAAATGCTCTATATGACTCTGCAACAGAACTTGAGCATAAATCTCTCTGCCGATGTTTTTAATTCTTCTCTGCTATCATCCGGCAGGTGATTGAGTTCGACGATGGCTCAGGCTCGGTGCTGCGTATCCAGCCTCTGAGGACGCACCGCGATGAAGCCATCTATGAATGTACAGCCACCAACAGCGTGGGAGAGATCAACACTAGCGCCAAACTCACCGTCTTAGAGGGTAAGAACCGACTTTGTGTCCTCACCTCACGGACTCTCTGACAGCTGAACAGGGTTTCATGTTCATGTGACCCTGTGTTGGCCTTACATTAGAGCTGGAGCGTGCACGGACAACGCACTGAGTTCTACTCTTGGCTCACTGTTTGTGTTCAGTTTTAACACTTTGACTTGGTTCAGTTAGGAACTTTTTCAGGGTTCTAGGAACATTTCCGATAACTCAAGTTTCAATGGACTGAAAATAGTTATTGCTGTGGGTGTGGTGGTTTCTTGTAGTCCAGAAACTTAAGGGGCAGAGTTGCATTCACACCACTAGTATGTATATCATCAGAGATTTGTTGGTATCTTCCCTGAAAGTCATCGGTTTTGTGAATCTTTAGTGCTTGGTGTTTTCCACTTAAAGTTCAGTGACTGGCAACTTCTTCTAGGAAATAAACTTTGCCAGTCATCAATAACTTCTCCACTTTAGTGGACTACTTTTGGAGCCTTGATGTTTTCAGTCTCTGCATGTATTTGCTAGGTCTGTCAGAGTTATACCAACATAAGTTCAAAGAATGACATGACACTGTTCTCTTTCCTTCTGTGTGAAAACTGTACCACAGATCCTTTTTGCTTTTTTTTTGTTGTTTTTGGTGATTGGTGTCCAGTTGGTTCGATTCTTTTGGCTCTTCAGATCAGTTTCCTTGATAGCTTGATAGCAAACTGCTGTGAAGAAATTAACATTACAAGTTATTTACTGTGTAAGACTGTCCAGAAAGAAGAAAACTGTTTTAATTTGCATTGCTAGTCCAATGTTGACATATCAATATTCCCATGCATTGATTTATTTGTGTCATAGTGTCAACATTGAACATCACACATTGATTTTATTTATTTTTTTATTTCGCACTGAATTAAAACATGTGTAGGACGAACATTTCTTTTCAGCTTTTTTAGTACAGAATGAAATCAGCACAAACTTCATGAATTGCTAATATCATTAACACCTCTGCATAAACTTACACTGGCACATTCAAGGTAACTCTGTTAAGTTCATCTTTCTGTTCTAAACACAATACTGTCACATTGTTATTATAAGAATGTAAGATGCCATGTAATCCTTCGAGATTTGTGGCGTAGAAAGTGAGTTTTAGGCTAAGTGTCATTACAGTAGCCTGGCTTGTAGCTGCTAACTGGTCTTTACTGTCAGGACCATTTCTGTAGCGATAAGAAGAGGCAGAGAGGCACTGTCATAGAGTTTCATGAACGGCGTCTTCATTTCCTTTTCTTGTCTTGTACCAACCCAGTCTCACGGCAATTTGTGAAATAGTCACAAAAGTTAATCTATTGATTCGTGTCAAGGGACACAATTTGCCCAACTTTTTCGTGTTCCAGCACGAATTTCAAACCAATACATTTCAATTGGAATGATCTTTCGTGTGGGCTACAAGGTGGCGCAGTTGAGGATTAACCGGTGTATAGATAATGCATGGATTATCTTTCGTGTCTGGGCCATTTTTTTTTTTCCCCCCTATTAGACAGCACATATGCTGTGATGTTTTTGTCGTTCTTTTCTTCCTACAGTCAGGCATTAACCAATTTTCCTGTCATGGCCCATCCACACGAATAGCTATAGAGATCACTATACAGATGTGTGCGCCCACGCTGACCAACATTAACATTCTGTAAACAACGGCGCTGCATATAAGCTCTGTATTCATTCAAATAGAAAAGGCAAAAAATGTCCAGGCAGAGAGAAGCTGTTCTGAGATTGCTCTGAACGTGATCCCAACGATATTGTTCATAGCCATTTCTAATTCAACAATGAAAGGGGCTAGAATCATTGGGCCAACTGTTATACAAAGCTCTTGACTTCTACTATCATGTAGGCTGTGGCTCGATGTTTTCACCAGCAGGGGGCATCACAAAATGTGGTAAAAATTTAATTTCACCTATATATATCAATTTCATTTGTAAATTCAATCCAAATAAACATGTTCTTCATTATTTAAATCCCTAAATGCACTTAAAGTTTTATATTTCACCCTCCATTTCGGAGAAACGGCTATTTTGAAGAAAGAACTACAACTTCCAGTAGCGTTACAATACGTAATTGGACCCACCATGAAATATGTAGTTCTTCTTGGGCTTTACAACTAGGGTTGTGTTTTTGATTTAATAAACTAAAATAAACAGATTGACCTGATTGACAGGCGACCTGTCCAGGTGTCCCCTGCCTTCGCCCTAAGTCAGCTGGGATAGACTCCAGCCCCCCTTGCGACCCTAGTGAGGATTAAGCGGTGTATGGATAATGGATGGATGGATGGATGGATGGACGTCTGGGATAGACATGACACTGAAAATGTTCATTCTCACTGTCTCCTGAAGGGGGCGCTGAGTCTATGCGTGCCGCCATCTCACCTAACCCATCTAAGAAACGGGTAAAATAAAATTTAAAAAAACAAACTGGAATTTTTTTGCGCTGATGTTCATCTAGTTTCCATTTCCTTTCGCGCAATGCATGACGGTCCATATTGCTGGTTAGTGACCATCGGCTGTACACTACTTTTCACGGTGCATTGTGAGATATTTTGACCGCACTATATAGGGTGCATCATTTGTAACTTAACATTCGTCACCCCTACAAAATGGCGTATACCCTATATAGTGCACTATATAGGGCATAGGGAGTGATTTCAGACACTGCCCTAGTCTACCTTGCTGTCACTTACTCACAAGAGTCACAAGAGGCATGTCTGGGATCACGAGCGCCCCCTGCCATTAGGCAAGAGAACTGCCTGCCTCACCTAGAACCTCTTCTCAGCCGTTTAAGATCGCTCAGCACACGAAACATGTTACATACATACAGTTGGCAGCATATAGACAGCAATACGCTGTCACTGCATGGCAGCCAGCAATCCAAGGTGAGACTCAGCTCGCTGCTGCCTCACCGGCTTCTATTCCAAGCATTTGAACGGGAAATTGTGAAAATTTCAGCAATTTGGAATGAAAAAAAATCATTCATTGGTGAAGCTAATTGAAAAAATGATTACTTTATAGTGCAAATCACAACGCAACCTTGCTGTAGACCTGGAAGACACCTGTCCTACAGAGTCTGTAATGTTTTTGTGTGTACAGTAGGTGGCGGTAATGCACCTGAACGTTGGATGCCAACCACCAAATCAATAGAAGAAGAAGCAGCAGCAGCCGCAGTAGCTAGGCTAATGTAGCCAGCCTCGACGAGCTCGCTAAAAGCTTCACAAAGCTACAGATACATTCCCCACCGCTGGCCTCTCAGTTACAATAGTCAGATTATCCATCGCTGCGATCACAGTACATCTTCCGGTCGCTGTTTTCCTGCATGTGTCCTTCTTTTCAGAGTTGTATTCGTTTGCAGAGAAATGAACGTAACAACGAGCATGTAGCACATATATTTTACCACAAATAAACGATAATAGCTATGAACGATATCGTTGGGATCACTTTCAGAGCGATCTCAGAACAGCTTCACTCTGCCTGGATATTTTTTGCCTTTCGTATTTGAATGAATACAAAAGAACCTAATGGGGGGAACAGTGTGTCCCAGACAGGAAAGATAATTCCAATTGAAATGTATTGGTTTGAAATCTGTGTAGGGCAACACGAAAAAGTTGGGGAAATCGTGTCCCTGGACACAAATCAATAGATGAAGTTTTGTGACTATTTCACGAACCGCCGTGATACTGGGTTGTTCCCAGGGCCTATCAACACACTTGATGGCTGATGAATTAACTTCATCACCTCTTTTAGCATGCACTTCACAGTGGCTGTAGCTATGCACTGCTAACTTACATTTCACACAGGCAGTTCCTATTAGTGCATGCTTGGAATTGCACATTACAGGTTAATTATTTACTAAATTGAACTCTCAAGGAGGCAGCCAGCTAAATTAACAAAATAAAATGACAAAAATCACCCCAATAAACTTCTGGTGATGGACTCAGACAGTCGCCAATAGCTGCTATTTTCATCCCAACTCGAATACAGACATGACGCATGAAAGTCTGTGGGTGTAGCTGTGTCACAGGAAGCTTTCAGTGCCATCTACTACCTCATATTCACCGGATTCTCCCCAGACATGCAGTCCATTCACAGTGATGGGATCACTGCTGGGAAGGGAATTTTGGTGGTTAAGTTGCAATACAGCTCTTCAGCAGCAGGTTTCAGAAAGACTGCCATTGTCCCCATGTGTCTGCAAGCAGTCCTCCAAACTAAATGACAAATTGTAGTGTCTCGCATTGCCTCTAAAAATGTATCATAAAAACATTTTATGATACTGCACCACTAGCCATCACTGGCTGGACAAAATGAGATAGAAGCTTCTCGATTGCTCACCTTGTACAAATTTTGCTTTACTTTTATTTGAGTAATATTTCATGCAAGTAGTTGATGCATTGCACTATTTTAGTGTTTCTTGTTCAATCAAACATTTGAAATCATTTGTTGCTTTGCCTTGAAACCTGCTACAGAGACAACACTACAGCAGACTGGAGCTAAGCTCTCTATATGATGGTACAAAATGTCAGTCTGAGGCTTGGCTGTTAGATGTCCAAGTCTCAAATAGGACTCAATGTCTTTGTGTGATCGTGTTTATTGAACAGGAATGTGTTGAAAGTGATTTTGGCTGGGAACCTCCTGTAGGTGTGTCTCTAGACAGTTGTGCTCTTTGCCAGCGGCGAGATGGAGCCCAAACACATTTATTTAATCGACACTCTAATTGATAGACAAACAACCACACACAAAAAAGGGCTGTCTCTCTGGCAGCCTTTTCCAAATCACTCAGGAGCCCATTATACTTATTCTGCCATGTAGATATTGTCAGCAGTAAACACAGCCCGAGGCTCCCGAGCCTGTTGCACCAAACAAACAGGCCTTTTCTCTCCAAAACCACTCAGGGTCTTGTTAAAAGAGAGTGACGGGCCAGGCTGATAATCACTGTTAGCGGACTTCTATTTAATACACAAGGCTATGAAACACAGAATAAAC